GCCTTGCTGTCAGGATGCAGGCAGTCCCTTTTGCCACCACCTGGCCCCTGCACTTCTGGAACAGTGTCTTGAACCCGTGGGCAGGGCACTGCTCAGGATCCATGGCACAACCGAGGCCCTTCTGTAAGCACAGAAGCAGCTCTTGCTGCCTCACCACCCCACTATCCTTCCAACCAGCCCCAAAGTCTACTTTTTACCTCCTAAATCTCTCACACCCATCCCTTCCTCTCCATGCCCAAGGCGAATCATTAGGTTCATTTGGGATTATCAGGCTCATTAGTGTCCTTGAGAGCTTCTCCCTTGGACCACCATGGCATCCCAGCTGGCACATGGGCCATCTGGGGCTTCCCCCTCTGGACATCCCTCCAGCTCATCTACCACAGTGGAGTCTGAACTTAGTGCTCTATGCTCAAAGTATCCGCTCTTTTTCTCCTGGCTCCTATAAGGTAAATACCAGGTTCCTACACTTCTCTTAGTCTTGCCCTGTTCTCGGCCAGTGACTTCATCTCCTGCCTTGCAATAACAACAGTAGAAAGTCAAGAATAACTTCCTCCATCCCCTGCCTAGACACTTACATTTATTTGCAGTCAGCTAGGTTTTGTTCCTTTTCTCCTTTCACAGTCTTCTTAATGCTTCCCTAAATTTCTCCTGTGTTGTCCTTTGAACAAATAATACTTGTTATAATGGAAGGGATTGCAAAATATTCATCCCCCATGGCCAAGTCCAACTGCAAAATCATGATGAAAGAAATCCGGGGAAAACTGCAGATTAATCTTTTAATAAAAAATACTTTCAGGGACTGGGGTTGTGGCTCAGCGGTAGAGCACTCACCTAGCACGTGCCGGGATGCTGGCTTCGATCCTCAGCACCACATAAAAATAAAATAAAAGGGTACTGTGTCCAACTACAACTAAAAAACAAACAAAAAATCAAATTCAACAAGTGTCTATATCTGTTCACAAGTAATCAACACCTTTGACATGTTGAATTAGAGTAAATAAATTAAAAAAAAATACTTTCAATATAAAATACTGAAGTTAGTAAGTCAGTGACTTAAATCAAAATTTTAAACAAATTGTTAGCATTATAGCAGATTCATTGAGCAGATAATAAATGATGTAACTGTAGAGTTAAAATCATGTAGTGCTTAGTATTTTAATGAATTTTTGAAATTCTAGTCATTTACAGTCTTATTTCTTTTAATAAGCATATTTCCAAACTACCAACAAATTACTAAAGAAGCCATCATCTACACACTTTGCCATCCTGAATGCTAGATGCAGTGACCTCATTGGAAGTTTGCCTTCTAGATGCCCTTTCTGCTCCAGGCCCACATACCATGGAGAGAAATTTCTAAAACACAAGTGAATTATGTCGTTGAGAATCGAGACCTGCCTTCTTTAATTGGTCCTTTATGGCATTGTCTGTGGTTTCTCTTCTTCCTCCTCTCTTCCACTTGCGTCTCACCACATACCTATGACAAGCTGTGTACCTCCATGTTTGAGAAGGGTTTGCTCTGTACCACCGTGTTTCATACCTGCTTTTCCTTCTGCCTAACTTTGATCTTTAATGACTTTCCCCTGCGGCTTTTGCTTTTCTGTTCTTTGAACTAAACTCTAGCATTGACATTACTAGGAAATTTTCTTCCCATGTCCCTTTTCCCCCAACCAGGCTGGTGTGTCCCACCTCAGTGCTTACCTTTGACATGTTGAATTAGAGTTTTCTCTTTAGTTGTCTGTTATCTCTGTCCCACCCCATCTCATGCCAGAGAATTCACTGACTGTGTAGAAGCTTTCCATCCAGGGTCTGACTGCCAGAAACTGGTGAGGGTGCTACATGAGGACTTCATTTTTTTTTTTTTTTAATAGTAATTTTCCTTTTGTTAGGAGATGCCAACTTTCTTTAATTTTATTAATTTGTCAGAATTTATGTTTACATTTTGCTATAAAATATATTTAACATATGGGCATCAGTTATAAATTATGTCTTAATCCTACAAAGATAGCACTACCCCTTCACATTAGTATTTGTTTTATAAAATTGGAAGGATTACAGTTTAACATTCTGTTTAGATATTTATGTTTTCCTAAAGCAAATAATAAGTTAAGGTCGATTATTTAATAAATGCTTCTTAAAGAGAATATGTGTGATGTTCAAATCAGGACAATTAGCATGTCCATCTCCTCAAACATATTGAATATTTACATTGTATCCTATACAATTATTGTATCTCAGCTAATTTTTGTTAAATTTTGAAACAAAGTAAGGTAATCCCTCAAAACTAGTCATTTGGCTGGTACCCTTGCAGCAGTGGGTGCAGATATTCATCTGTGACCTGTAGAGAAATCCAGGGGAGAAGTCTGCATGGGTGACACTGCACTGGAATGAATAATAAGATCAGCTCTCCTTTATAGACTCTTCATATATGTCAGGCATTTTGCTGGAAAGTGTACACATGCTTAAATATATTTTATATTATATATTTTAAATTATGAATTTTATTCTACTGATCTTATGTTTCTGCCAATACTACCTTGTATTTTACAAATTTAGTTTATTATAAATTTTGAAAATTGGAAAAATGTATAGTCTGTCCTTAAGAATGTTCCATGTACAATTGAGATGAATGCATATTCTGCCTTTATTGAGTGTAGCGTTCTATAGATGCCTATCAGCTGTGATTGTTTCTGTTGTTATTCAGAATTGCTAGGTCTTACCTAATGCATTTTAATACTCTTATGTTATTACATATCTGTGCTAATTGTTTTATCTTCTTGATGGGTAAACTTTTCTATCATTTAGAAAATTTAGTGACAATTTTTATCCTAATATCTGTTCTGTCTGATGTTTAGTATTATAGCTACTCAAGCTCTTTTGGGAAGTTAATATTTCCATCGTATATCTTCTTCCACTCTCCTTCTTTCAGCCTGTTTTTATCTTTGAATTCAAAACATGCCTTTTGTAGGCAATGTGTAGTTGGATAATTTTTTTCATGTGCCTTTTAGCTAATCTAATCATACATATATATACATACACATACACATACACACACCCTATATATACATACATAGATATAGATATATTTGCTGTAATTACCAATAAGATAGGATTTATATCTGTTTATATGTCTCTTTGTGTTCTGTGTCTTCTTTTTGTAGCCTGTTGCTTTCTTTTATGCTTGTTATTGTTTTGTTTTTTGTTTTGTTCTTTTACTGCATCACTTTACTTCCCTTGTTACTTTTATAAATTTTTGTTTTCTCATTATTTCCTAAACATGCATTGGGGATTATAATTTACATCTGAACTTATAGAATGATGGAGATTTTAGGCTTAATTTACCAACTTAATTTTTAACACTACATGAAAGCTTGCCTCCGTACACTTCCATTCTCTCCAACTATTGTTCCAGTCTGTGCTGCAGTTATATCTTCATACAGGTGTATTTTAAATAAGGTAGAAGAATTATAATAAAAAATTCATTCATATTCTCTTTTCTGCTTACCTAAGTATTTACCTTTTCCAGTATTCTTCGTTTTTTCATGTCAGTTCAAGCTGCTGACTGACCTTGCCTTTGCCTTAAAGGACTCCCTTCAGTATCTTTTTCTTTTATTTATTTATTTATTTATTTATTTATTTATTTATTTATTTATTTATTGTATTGGTTGTTCAAAACATTACAAAGCTCATGATATATCATCTTTCATCCATTTGACTCAGTTGGGTTATGAACTCCCTTTTTTACCCCAAATACAAATTGCAGAATCACATCGGTTCCTTCAGTATCTTTTTCAAAGCATTGCTGCAGCTGATAGATTTTCTCAATTTAAGATAGCTACATTAAATTCTCATAAATTCAGTCCAAGCATTTGGGGGACAATTTTTATTGAATTTTTTGTAGAAACCATTTTTTCATGTTTCTTCACGTCTCGTTTTTGTTGTTGTTGATGTTTAAAACTGTTCAATATAATTTATCAATTCTAAAATTAAGTTCTTACAGGGTTTCTTATTATTTTTGTTATTAATGCCTTCTCCAAACCAATTCTGTAAAATCTTTATTTGTCATGTATTGCCTCTGAAGTTTAGTGCGCAACTGCTGAGTGGAGGGAGATTTCATTAAATGCATAAAAACTTCCTGTATTTTTGCCAAGGGCCTGTGGATATCCACTGGCCCTTGTACCCAGTTCTCCCTAGTCGGTCTGCAGCTGGCTCTGGCTCAGCCTTCGTTTCCTGCTGGTGCTGAATCTCAGCATCAGTCAGGAGAGAGACCTCTGGGTTTTGTCAGGTCTTCCCTGGGTGTGGATGTGGCCTCTACATTCTTGGGATTATTGCAGAGCTTTTTAAAGTCTGTGTGGATATTTCATTCCCCTCTTTTCCTTTTAAGTTTTTGGATTAGCCTGCTTTTCCACTTCTTCTTCACTGCCATAGACAGCCAACATCTAAAAACAATTGCCTCTGACTGTTTGCTTCAGATACCCCTAGGGGGTAGGCTTTTTTGCCCAGTGTGAGCTCTGAGTTGGGTCCCGTAAAGACAGTTCTCTGGGTGTCACTTTGGAGGAGCTCCAGCCATGCTCCATGTTCTACCCTCCACTGGCCTCCGTACTGCTCCCATTCTGGCCTGGGGTATACAAGGCTCCTCCAAGTGGGGCACAGGTTAGAGCATCATAAAGCTCACTGCTGTTCTCACCAACATTCAGCCATTTGTTTAAAAAAAAAAAAAAAAAAAAAAAGAAAGAAAGAAAGAAAATGCTCCCTAAATCTGTACAGTCTGATGATTAATTTTCATCATCCTGAAAGTGGTGATCCTGACCTTTTTTTTTTTTTTTTTTAACTCTTTGCTTTGGTACTTTGGAGCTTCTTACTCTACCATCTGTGCTGAAGTCATATTATTCTTTGCACTAAAATTAGACATGCATTAGCTGGTTTAACTAAAATGAACTAAAAGCATAATGATTTTTTCCAGAAAGTTCTCTGAATGTCTTTGTGCTTCTGTTGTGTTTTAGGACTATGATGATGGATACAGCACTGCATATGATGAGCAGAGTTATGATTCTTATGATAACAGCTACAGTGCACCAGCTCAAAGGTAAGTCAGTCCTCACTACCAGTGTCACAGACACGTGCCCTCCACCTGGCTGTACTCTGGGCCAGTGTGACAGGCAGCTGGTAAGGGTGATTTGACTTGCCGTGTTTTATTTTTGTTTCTGATAATCAGAGAATCACTGTCTGTTTTACCAACTAGCATGTGTTGACCTACCCACATTTACTTTTCTGTGAAAGCATTCTTGCTTGGGAAATAAAATTTATTTATTATAAAAATTTGACTTCAGTGTTTAGTGTATTCTGATGAGAAGGAACAGCCTCAAAGGATGTTACTCTTCAGCCTTAAGGCTGAAATAATGTGGGAAATGTAGAAATGTCCTGTCTTTGTGCCTGAAGATGAAGGTGCCTAACATTTTGTTTCCTAGTCATAGAACTTTTTTATTTCTTAGCAGCAATGCTCCTATTTCCTAACAACTTCAAATTCCCCCTTGTGCCTAGTGAGTATGTTTCGATTGCTTTTATAAAGAAGTATTTACCCAGAAATAAGTATCATCAGAATTAGAATAGGTTTTTTAGTTGCCGCTCCTGGAGACATCCCTTGGTGTGTTCATTGGTAGGCAAGACCAATGTTTATTCTGTGCAGAACATTTTCCTAAATGCCTAGAAACCTTTTACTTCAAATTTACAATTCTGAGAGGAGGACAAAGATAGTCATACATAAAACAAAATATTCGTTTACAGTTATTACAATATAAATAACATGGACCATGTGGTTATTTTGATGAATGAAAAATTCCCATTTGAACTTACATGATGGCACGCAAGCTGGAAACACCCAGGTTCTCTTACTTGTTCACTGTAATGCCCAAGCAGACAGGGATATTTGGTTTTGTGCTCAACAAAGCATTTCCTCTGTAACTTAGGATAATGCCGCAGCCTCGAGGCGGGCTTTGGCCGACAGCTGCTCTTTCTGGTGCAAGTCTGGCATCACATTTGCCCCCTGCAGTGTGCTGGTTAGCAGCCCTCCTGGGGCCTGGCAACCCCTTGGCTGGCACATCATGCGCACTGAAGGAAACACTCCCCACAGTATTGTATCTGAGTATCCGACACCTTTGTAGAGGGTGGGGTGCTCCTCCCATTGTATAGAGGAGGAAAGGAGCACTAAATTAGATCATTTGCTAAAAATCACACAGTAAGTGCAAAGATGAAATTCTAAGTCAGATCTTTTAACTCAAAGATTTGTACTCTTGTAAGGTCATCCTCAGATTTTGTTTAATAACGTAAGTATTCACAAGTATTTGAGTTTTTGTCTAAGTATCCTGGCAAAACAAATATTCTCCTTCATAACTATGCTACGTGCATAGTGCATTTCTGGTACTGTTAAGTTTCATAAAGGATGAGTCTAGTTCACATGCACATGGCACTCCTGACCGTGGTTCTGTAAGGCATATTCACACCTGTAGACAAGGAGGCTGAATGACAGAGGTGTTCCAGGACTTGTGACTAAAGCTGAGAAGAGGTAACTAACTGTCTGTGGCTTCCAAGAGCCCCTTCCTAATTCCGGCTCCTTCCTTGCATATTGCCAGGCTCTCCATTAGCCTGTCCCCATGTCCCTCTAGCATTCAGTGCACTGACTTTCAGGTTCAAATGCGTGTCATTGGTTGAACTGTATGTGTGGTTTAAGGACCTGGTGAATTCCAGATGCTGTGCTGGTGCTTTATTTGATTTCAGTTTGACCCCCATGAGCTCCATTCCTTTCCTGTGCAGTAACAAGGGTCATCTGTGTTGAGAAGCTGAAAGCTGAGGGGCAGCATTTAATGAAGTGCATGTGCAGGGCAGGAGTATAGTTCCTCGTGGTCTTTTGTGTTTTGGTATTTGACATAAAGAACCAGGGTTATAGCATTTGCCCTGTTGAGTGCTGCGATCTGTCCAGGAGGGACGCCACAGTGTTAACCCTGAGCGAACAGAGAACAAGACGGAGCCGCGTTTACTCGGAGCCTGTTCTCAAGCATGGAATGTGAAGTGTTTTGTTTAATCCAAATGGCAATAGCAAGAATTAATGCACATGAGGAACCGGGGCCCAGGGACGTAAATAACTAATCTCAAATGGAAACCGGACCTGTAAAGCTTGTGGTCTTTTCACTTAATCTGTGATAATATGGTAACATGGTTAATTATAAGCGTCCATTCCCATTCCTTTGGTCATTCATTCAGCCAGTATATGTTGAATGTGCATTTTGTGTTAGGCATGTGCTTGATGATTGGAGTGTAAAGATTAAGACAGAGACCTTATTCTTGAAAAGCTCACTGGCTAATAGGAAACAAGTGCAAATATTTAAATGCAATACAGTATGGTAATCAGTACATAAGTTCTGAGGAGAAATTTAGTATTTCCATTAAAAGACAATGCTGAATTCTGATTTGGAATTTGGGGGCATGTCTCTGACAAGGTGGAAGGATAAGTAGAAGTTCCCAAATGACAAACATAGAAGCGAGTTCCACAGAGCAAGTCTAGGCAGCATAGAGACATGGAATGAAATGTCCTATGTGGGAAGTACTCGTCATTTCATTATGAGCAATGTGTGCATGCATGGAAAGAGAAGGGGGCATGTTCTCTAGAGCATGTGAGGCCCAGGAGGAGTGGGGAGAGTGAGAGGAGGCCAGAGGGGAAGTGTACCCTACTCAAGGCTGTCATAAGAGGCCCTGAAGAGTTACATGCAAGCAAATGATGTGCTTAGATTTGAATTTAGATAAATTAACTAGCTGACATTGTAGATCTTGGACTGGCAGATGGTGAGCCTAGGGGCTAAGACCAGTGAAGAAGCGTGTGCATTATAAATTATAAGACCTTTAAGTGTCAAAAAGACTCACTAGAAGAAGTTCCCTGCATGATATCTCATCTACCATTTTAGACTGATCTTTTCAGGCTTGCAGATTTTGCTACGAGAAGGAGCAGGAAATCACATGGTCATTGCATGCATAAGCAGCACAGAGACCACTGTTCACAGGGCACTCTGTTCGCTCATTAATCCAAGTAATATGTACAATAGACATTGCTCTTTTTTTTTTTTTAAGTTGCTTAATTTCCTTGAAATCATTTGCTTATAAGCAAAGGAGCAGCTCTGAAGTAGGTCTGTCGGGCCGTGAGCACACAGCACACAACTCTTCTGCATAGTGCTCTCGGCTTGATCCAGACAACCGTGTGATAACTGAAGGCAAGTACCCTCATTATGGAGCTGGGTGAAGAAATGGCTTCCTGTAGTATTATTAGCTTGCTGGTGTTGCTGTAACAAACCATGCTAAGTCTGGGTGGCTTCAATAACAGAGATTTGTTTTCCCATGGTTCTTGAGCTGAGAGGTCCAAAATCAAGGTGTTGGCAGGTATGTTTCTTTGGAGATTTTCTCCTTGGCTTACACACAGTTGCCTTTGCCCTGTGTCCTCACGTGGTCTTTCCTCTGTGTGTGCACTCCTAGCATCTATGTCTGTTATCCACATGTTCTCCTATAAGGACTCCAGTCAGAAACTGGGGGTGGTGGCTCACATCTGTAGTCCCAACTGCTGGAGAGACTGAGACTGAGACAGGAAGGAGGAGGGTTTAAGACCCACCTGGGCAAGATAGACTCTACTCTCAAAAAAAAAGAAAAGAGTGGAATTGGGTTAGAATCCACCCCTAAGGACCTCATTTCAATGTAAATCACCTGTGTAAATGCCTCGCAAATTATCCCTAGTATTTTTGAGTAGGCACTAACAAGGAATTCAGCACCACCGTCATCTTTAGTCATGGGGTGTTTACTTTGTGACTGGCACTATTTCATGGACTTCTGTAAATTGTCTCTCTCTTCAGTCTGAACATGTCATTCCATGTCATTAAGTTAAGAGAGGTCATGTTGCTTATAAAAACTCATGAGGCCGAGCAGTGGTGCAAATCTGTCTGCCCCAGCGTTCTCTTGAGTGCTCTTTTCCTTCGCCTCCTTTCCCCCTCACCATAGTTTTGATTTCAGTTGCTGCAGCTAATTCCTACTTGTATTTCCCTCATATGGTACTAAAGTACTTAATATTTTATGATGCTTTTAAATCTTTTAGGCATTATGCTTTAACCCAAACTGGAAGTTTTGCCTTATCAGACGTGGACTGTCTTAATCAAACATAGGATTTCATTCACACTACATGTTAAAGTTGTAGGCTAAACTAGTGAAATTAAGAGCTTTGTTTTTCCCACTTTATATTAGATCCTTTCAACAGGTAATATTTCCTGCCCCTGCTCTAAGGAGTATGCGGTCCTGGGGGTTAAGCGGTAGTTAATACCATGTAATACCCTGTAACACTTGATATCTGTAGTCTTGATTTTGATACTCATTGTCTGTAAAATTGGTCTCATACTTTAATAGTTCTCCTTGTTCAAAATGTGAAAGTGCCTCCTACGTTATGGGTGTAGTTGAGGACTTCCTAGTTGGTCCTACCTTTTAGAGGCAAGTCTGTTATGAAGTCACCTGACATGGCCTGCTATAGGACAGCACTGAGCAGATGTTGGCCCTGCACTGTCCCCCGTAGGTTCCAGTAGCATGAATGTGGGGCACCCAGCATATGGCCCAGAATACAATGTGTAGCAAGTATAAAGCACACCAGATTCTAGAGACTTCATGTGAAGAAAAAGATAGATGTATCATTAAATAGACGTATTCATTAAAATTAATTTTACCCATTTATTTTTACTGTTTTTAAAATGTGGCTAATAGAAAGTTTTCAATGACAGATGTGGCTGCTATTTTCTCTTAGATAGGACTGGGTTGAATGAGCCCACTTCTGGCACTCCGGCATAGCAGAGCGCTCCCTAGGCTGGGCACATCCACCCAGAGTAGGCAGGTGACCTGCTGGGTACAGAGAAGTGGAGAGTCTCCACTCGTGTTCATATTCTTCAAATTTTCATTTTGCTGTTTTATACTCCAAGATGTCACAGTACCATTGCAGTGCACATAGGCCCTGAACAGTTACAAGTTCAAAGATATTTTTCTTCCATATAGAGGTGTATTATTAACATCTGG